ATAAATATTTTTTTTTTATAAATAATTTATATTATAAATAAATATTATTTTATTTATTGATTATTCATTTTAAAAATAATAAAATCTAATTTATAAATAATTATAATAAATAAAAATTAAATTAGATAAAAAAATTAAATTTTTAAAAAATTTATTGTAAAAATAAAAAATTTCACTTTCATTCAAGATAAATATATGAATAACTGAACCCAAGATTTAACGCGGTTACATATACAAAGCAGAATTCGAACCCCTCACCTTGTTTAAGCGTGGATCAACCCCTACCACTGAACCACACGCTTGGAGTTTAAATATCTATATATACTAATATATAAAGGAAATATTCATTTTAATAATCATCTTGATTTTTATATTTTATTAATTATTATGTTTTAATTTTAATTTTTTTAAAAAAATAATATTTTTATTTATTAAAATCTAAATCTTGGAATTAATTTCCTCTATAAAAAAATCTTGAAATTAATGAATTAATCATAACATTAATTAAATTATTATATTTTTATTACTTAATTTTAATTTTAATTTTAATTGAGAGTGTGGAATAATATTAATATATAAGTCCGTTGATAACGCAGATTTGACCGGTGTGGCGTTATGCAATTCTGTTTCTTTGTTGGAATCAGTTGTAAGGAATAAGGGAACTAGGGAAGGGCAGCTTCATTTTCCAACCAAACCTTCCATAACCCTCTTTCACTCCTCTTCCTCTTTCCCCAATTCCCTTACTCCATTCCCACGCGGTTAGTTACCTTTTCTTTCTTCTAATTTCATTTTTCTATAATTTTAATAGATCCTTATGATTCAGATTGAAATTTTCTTATGATGCTGTTTTAACTGCTTCACTTGCCCTTTCCTGTGATGAAACTGGTTGATCCGTGGTTGTCTTTGAAATGAAAACGCCACGTGAGTGATCAATGTGAACCCAACACGTGATGTGTGCTTATTTAGATTCTGAGCTGCTCATGGAGTGAAAGGTTGTTTTTGCAATGTGGGTCGTGTCCGATTGTCGAAATTTTAATTTTTGTTTTATGCTTGGCCGGTTTTAGATTTGGTGGCGTGGTGCTGTGATATGATGGTCTTTCGTGGATTAACACTTTGTCTGGGTCAAGGTTTTAAATTATGGTCGCAGTTTTGTTGTGATGGTTGACATGGCTGCCACAGTTGCAGTCGCGGGGTGCCCAAAAGCCTTGATTTTACTGCCAAAATTGTGATCGTGGACTGTTTTTTTGAAAACTTTGGTTTGGGTTGTTAATTATGTTGTCTTACAAATTGTGCTTCATAGAAATGGGAGATCCATAAATACTGTGAACAACTTTGTCAGGCATTCTTTTATTTCATACGTTGTTGCTAATGATGCCCTTGATAACTTGTAAAAATTTCTGTCTTCTCTATTTTGACACAGGATTTTATGGTTCTGTTGATGGGTTTATTTTTGTCTTGGATGTCAGGCAATGCTTGATAGATTAATTGTGCTAGAAATGCTGTAAAATTTTGATATGTAGTACATACTGATGACTGATAGTAGTTGCAATTTCCATTTTTTTTTTTGTAGATTTTGATTGAGATAAAAGGGCTTGGTGGTCAACAGGGGAAGAGAAACTGCTGAGGCTCAGGTTCATGGGAAAGTGCTTCTGTTTTGACAATGACTTATGCACTGATATTTCAATGATTACTCCCTTTGCATTGTAAATTTGTTCGTCTTTCATGATGTGGAGGTTTGCATCAAATGCCCTTACATGCATTAGGAAGAAAAGAAGCTCCAAAGAGCCAAGTCATGATAATGCAGATTGCTCGGATGATGAGGTCTGCTCTAATGCCAGCAGAGATGAAGGGCTGGAATGCCCAATATGTTGGGAATCTTTCAACATAGTTGAGAATGTGCCTTATGTCTTATGGTGTGGCCACACCCTCTGTAAAAATTGCGTGCTAGGACTGCAATGGGCTGTGGTGAAATTTCCTACTCAGCAAATCAAGATCCCGTTCTTCATTTCTTGTCCATGGTGCCATTTGTTATCGCTCCGGTTCATTTACAAGGGAAATCTTAAATATCCTTGCAAGAACTTCTTCCTCCTGTGGATGGTTGAGAGCCTGAATGGTGACAGGCATAAGCTTGTTTCTACTTGTGCGGAGAACCAACCAATTTGGTCTCCCAAATGCAACCTTCTGGGAAGTCAAGTTACTAATTGTAACCTAAGAAGGGCGTCGATAAGTCATTGTTCTGGACAGTTGGGATCTAACCGTGATGTTGGTGTCAGTGATGGAGAGACACGCTACTTCAACCTTCTTAAATCTTTGGATTTCTTCTTTCACTTAACAGCCAAGTTCCCATTGGTCATCATTTTCCTTCTGATTGCACTATTTGCAATTCCCTGCAGTGCTGTTATTTTGGTCCTTTACTTGCTAGTCACTATTCTTTTTGCTATACCATCATTCCTCGTATTGTACTTTGCATATCCTACGATCCAGAGGCTGGTAAGAGAAATAACTTCTTAAGATATAGCCCTCAGCTGACCGTTACGTCATGTCAATCCGACTTCAGCAAATTCAGTATATATCTTTGGATTGATTGTTGAACTCTGGTAATTTCTTTGTTACTTTTAGGTTTTCATATTTTTATGGTTCTATTACCTTTGTAGTTTTTTTTTTTTTTTTGGTGCAATTTTCATGCTTTTAGTTGAAAATCTTGAGAGGAACTTTAATTTTTGGCAGTTGTAATTTGATTCTTAATTCCTTTTTTTCTTTTTCTGAATTGGGTAATTAAATATTTTGTACATAGAACAAGCTTCGCATGCTGAAAAGTTTATGTATCGAATTGCTATGGTTATGTGATTTCTTGTAGAAAATGTTTCATGCAATATCTATAGACTATAGGTCCGGGCTTGATTTGGACCGGAGCTTTGTCATTTCGGCCCATGCTTTTGCTGTTCAGTGACAACATGGTTGAAAAATTAGCCAGATTCTTCATTCGGTAGCATAATTGCCACTTTTTTATTTCAAAGAAGAAAAAAAATCTAATTAAAACATATACGTTAAAAATTATAATAATTATGCTAGTTGTTTTTGAGAGAATGTAACAACTTGAATAAGACTGTTTTGCTGCATTTCCAAGAAATTACAAATAGTAGTAGCTTGTTTAAAGAAAGCTTAAAAAACTGTATTATATATCACTTTTAAGCTTAAACAAATTGTCTATATTAATGACCTATTAAGGATCTATTTGTATAAACGTTTTTATAAGTATTTCTAGAAGAAAAAAAACAAGAAAAAAATATTTTTTCTTTTTTATAAGCTAATATTAGCTTATAACAAGTTGAAAATTATTTTGTTTAAAGGCTGATACGTAAGTTTTTCCATGAATAGTTCAATTTTAGTTTTTGAAGAAACTTATTCTTTATTTTCTTTATCTAAAATTGCTTATTAAGAAATTTATTCAAAACTGGCCCTAAGCTTTGGATTGCCACTTATTTATCATACATACCCATCTTATTAGTTGCTTTCTTTTCATAAAATCAGTACTACTTTCTATAGAGAATTACCGGTTGACTTTTGACGTATGTTCCACTTCACATACCCTGACATACGTGGAAAGTTACTTTGATTTTTGTTCATCTTGCCGTAATACCAAACACGCTTCTTTGAGTCCGATAAATAGGAGTGGCATGATGTTGATGATTAGCACCTTCCGCTGACCGCACAGAGTGACAGAAGCGAGCTATCCAAGTATCAGTTTCTGATACGAATTTCTGTTTGTAAGATTATTTCAGCTTCTACTTTAGTTCTACATATAAACAGCGCGGATGTAGTAGCTAGCAATTTTGGCATTTAATCCATGTTCATTGTCTGGATTTTCTTAAGTTCCATACCTTCTTTATTTTTTTCCTTGTGATGTTAAATACTAACTAACGTACCTACCCATGTTTGTGTCTTCCTCACAGTTTAACATGTCTAAATGCTGAAATCGAATGCTAAGGGGGAAAATAACAGTTTGGGTTAGCTTGATTAAACAATTAAACCCTGTAGTTTCATAACATGATAAATCATTTTATTGGTTAATAATTTGTCATTTCCTGAAAATGAAGTTAACACTCAAACTATGGTGGTAATATGTATAATCTTTTACCAAAACTAAATTCTAAAGCAAGAAAAACTGCAGCTAATTTACACAAGTAGCTTGTGTATCAATTCAACTTTTCAGTTTTTCTTTTTCCAATTTTTATAGGAAGGTGCCAGGACTACGATTTATATATAGATAGAACCAAGAAACATAAATTTAGATCTCTGTTTGTTCCCCAGCCTCTGTGATGCTACATAGTGATCTCAGAAGCAAAAGCAAATCCCTGGCAGCTTGCCTGTTGTTCGAATTACATTTGCCTTCTCTTTAGCTTTTAGTTCTTCATTCTTTCGGCTTTCTTCTGCCTTGGTTCTTGCTCCCTCTGCAATCTTATCTATAGCCGTAATCTTATTCTGAAAATCCTCTGAAGCTTTCATCCTTCTTTGCGCAAGTCCTCTCTGCAGTTTCAGAAGATCGTGATTAAGAACCCCATGCTAACCTTTTATAGATTAAATTTTTATTCACCGAAATTGTTTTGAGCTGTGTGCCACAGTCAGCTGTTATCCAAATTATACTGTTAGTTGGTTAGGTGATTGCTTCTCCGAAGCTTTGTTTTAGTTCTAACGCGGCAAATGTAGGTCACACTTGTAATTGTTCAATGCAAATTAGACTGTCTATTGTTTTGCACAAAGAATTATGTATTTAATTTTAAGTGTTCTAAACTCTAAAATGTTAGCAGACAAGACCCAAATTTACCAAGTTAGATTAAAGGCTTCATCTGAGTATGTGGAAACATTTAGAGGCATACTTTAGATAAAGTTTGATTACGGATACCGACAAAAGTATGTGGACTAAATTTTACTGTTCCTATTTTGCTTCATATTTTATGAGCATATCATGTTTTAAGCTGTTTGATAAAGCACATGCTGATATATGTCGTGGACGTTGCATATATCGTAAGTATACTTTTGGCAGAACAACTCTATTGAACACGCATGTCTGAAAATGTGATAACTGTTAGAAGAGTTGTTTCCTATAAAAGTATATGCGGGACGAGACCAGCATCCACACTATTCATCAGACAACTTGAAGCATGGTATAAACTCAAAATGTATATAGCACAGTAGAATCTTCCAAAACATAATGAAGTCTAATTTCAGATAGGTATAAAGAATGATTGAGCGAAACCTCTTCCTTATTTAGCTTGCGTCTGGCTTTCATCTTCTTCTTGTTTTGCCATGAATCTATTACCTCTCTCAAGTCATCGTACCTGACAATATCTTTTTAATTAGTATAAAACAGCATGTAATGTGCATGAATTAAGCACAGTAGCATTTATTCGAGTTCTAATTGAGAACTATTTCTTTAGTAGAATTTCAATGTATATAACTTCCAAAACCAAATACCTTTGTCTTATATCTTCAAGCTCGGCTTTCTCCCATTCATTTGCTTTTGTGTGCCTTTCGGTAACAATTGGTTGTCTTACAGGGTCAGGCATTGTAGTCTCAGGCTTTTCATTAGTGAAAGTTGAAGTCTTTTTCATTGATGGGGAAGGGGTAATGGCCTCTTCTGGCTTCTTCTCATCTGTGACTAAGGACTTTGGCACCTTCTTACCTTTGTCATCCTTAGATCTAAATGAACCTGAACATGAAGCACAAAAAGTTACTATACTTTGGGACCAAGCTACAATAAGTCAATAACAACAATAGTCTTATTCGACTAGCTACATGAATCACATGATGCCATTTGATCCGGTTGAAGACTAAATCTTCAGACATTATTTGTTATTAGATTCCTTCGAAAGGGTAAATATTATTAACTAGTGGAGTTCTACTTCTACGTTCTCGTCCTCACCTGACAATCGCTTCGATGCACTACTAAGTAGGGGAATTTGAGGTTTTGTGCCATCCACCTTGCTTTTGGTCTTTGTCAATGAGGCCTTCAGAGTCTCACTCTTCTGCTCAGAAACATCTTGCAAATTAATTGCAAATGCAGCAGCAGCTACTGCGGCAGCATGGTCCATGTCTCTGGAGTCATGATCCCCACTCCTCCTTGCAAACTGTTTCTGGAACCAATTCTGGCCACCCTGTTTCTTCTCTCCTGAAATTGTCACCAGAGTTTGTTAATAAATTGCTTCATTGATTTTAAGCCAAAAACTGACAGAAAAATAAGAACATCTTCATTCAAGTGTTTCAATCTTTAGTCAAATGGAATATTCATTTCTTTATCCTTTATTCTTTTAGTCTCTTATTACAGGTTTACAGAATATCACAAACTCATCTCCTTCCTTTTTACCTCTTCACCATGACACTCTTGCCTAATATGCTAAATAAAAATACAGATATACTATGACCTCAAGGGGAGGGAAAAAAAATTAAAACATTACCTTTGAAAGGTCGAGTTTTTTGTATTGGTATTTTCTGATCCCTGGGGCTACCAAGACCAGCTTTGCTCTCTTCTGCACCAGAAGTTTTCACCCTAACAGCAGTGTTCATGTAAACGAACAATAATTATGATCATCTTTAATTGTGGTTTAATACAACATCTGAAAATATATTTGTTGAAAGAAAAACCACTTTATGCAGCAGCCAGCTATTATCAACAAGGAAATCGGGAGATTGCAAAAAAGAGAAACGAAGATAATTTCATGTATAATGATCCATATTGATCATGCCATATTGATCATATCTAAGTTCGAATGGTTCATATTCAATTTATTGCAAACTACCCTTGATAACATAGCTAATGCAATCATGCCATTGTCACATGGTAAATACTGTACGAAAACAAAATTCTCTTTCTTTGTTAAGATTTCATTTCAGCCAGATATGGCTCGCATGAAATAGCAAAACATGTTTAGCAACCAAGATGTGTAGGGTAAAAAGTTAGAACTACTAACCTCATTTGATTAAAAAAATTCTCCATTAGAGTACAAATTCTGCTCTTAGGCTTCCCTTCTATGAGTATGGTGCCGTGTCATCCATTGGCCACATACAGGTGCTTTTTGAAATATATAGAAGAAACATGGAAGGGAAAGTTCCTTAAGGTTTGTCATGGACTGTTATTCCGAGGAGGGCAAGCAATATCAAAAATACTTTGCATGTGATACTTGGTTTGGAACTCAAGTGCCTTATGGGGGAAGACAGGTATTCTTTTCTTCTTTGGAGACTTGGCTGTCAATATAGGATCTTATTTGACCTTCTCCACCACTTTCTCTAATCCATATTTCTCTGCTGAAGATTTTTAAAGATCCCCAGTTGAGTTTTCTAGCGAAAATAACCAGAAATATTGCTTTCTGTTATGTCTTCAGCATCAATGGATAGTGGAAGGCCAAAAGCAAAAGAGAGCATATATTCCCAGTTGTGACTTTTTGTGCTGCATGAAAATGTTTCGTGATTTGATCTTCATAGAAAGAAGACAGTTTTGTAGATTTTCTCTGCTCCTTTCTTGAGAGAAATATAATGTATAAGACACGAATGAGGGCGGAGTTTATACTATGAGGAAATATATTTCTTGATCAATTAATAAAAATAGACCAAACAAAAGACTTGTCTTATATATTTTCAAAATGTATTTTTGAGACGTTAATACAAATTTTCGTTTCTATAATTTAAGATAATAATTGAAAATGAAAAAAAAAAAAAAACTATCCTCTATGTTAATTTGTAATCGAATAATCATGTAAAAGTATTTTATGCCGCAAGTAGGTGTACTATTTAATCTAAAAATTATTATATATGAAATAATATATTATGTTAAATTTTGGCTAGTTTAGATATTTTTTTATTGATAAGGAATTATAATGACGATAATAAAAACCAAACCAAATTCTTTGCGTCTATCTCACATTTCAATTATTAGGTTGATCTAAGTCATCGTATTGATATATATTTATATTTAATTTGACTATTGTAATTAAAAAATAATAATACAGGACTCTTACGCTCACTTCGCAGTATTAAAATTTGATAAGGTACCATTTCTTTTTTCAATTTTTCTCTTTACAATTGACAAAATCAATATAAATTATATGACTTAACAATATTTTAACTTAAAATAATCAAATAATATTTTAACTTGTAAGTTAAGATTTTTACATTGCCAGCCATTGAAAATCATCCTAATAATTTTAAAATGATTATTACAATATTTAACCAGTTTGTCATATATATATATATATACATAT